AAAAAAAAAAAAGAAGGTAATGGTTGATCTTTGCTAATAAACTCTAAAAAGTGGTGTGAGCAGAAGCTAGTTTACAGTGGCTTGAAGAATAACTGCAAGAGCAGAAAGTAGAGACCAAGTATAGACGAATTTGTAAAAATGATTGGCTGAAAAAGAAAATACCTAGTGAGGGCAGTAGTTAGAGTGGCTCCGGGGTCAATGGAAGATGCTTTAGGATCTGAAAGAATGCTTGACGTGTTCATGGGTGAGGAAGAGGGCCCAACGTGATATCGGTGAGGAGTAGGATGAGGACTCTAAGTGAAGGACACTTGAAAGAAGGCAGCTCACTTGATGAAGGAGAAAGTAAATAATGGGTGGGGTACAGGAATGTGTGCAGAGTCCTGGGAAGGGAAAAGGGAGTGGTGTGGGTGATAGAAGCATGTTTAACTCTGTTGCACAAAAGTTTTCTTTTAAGCAAACCTATCACCCTCTCTCTTGTTTCTTTCAGATATTTGGGGGACTCGTCTGGATTTTGGTCGCCTCTTCCAACGTTCCTCTACCTCTGCTACAAGGATGGGTCATGTTTGTGTCCGTGATGGCATTTTTTTTTTCCCTCCTCTTCCTGGGCATGTTCCTTTCTGGCATGGTGACCCAGATTAATGCCAACTGGAACTTCCTGGTAAAGGATTTTTATTTCAATTCTGCTTCAGAAAAATGTGGGAAACTGATAAAACTCTCATGATGTTTTGAATGCCTGATGTCATGTTCTGACTTGAGTGCCTAGTGGAAGAGAAAAGGTCAAACCATAGGTCTGATATGGTGCCTTGTGGCTGCCTTGCAGGACAGTGGGATCCTAGTTTGTGAAATCCTCATGCCAACTGAGCTGTGCTCCCCCTCTCTGAATGAAATGACCTTTACTTAAGACTTTTATTTTCTATGACAAATGAATTATATTCCAGTTACTGAATAGATGCCTTTGGGAGATGAATGTTGTAACATGCATCTTGAAATTTCCCATTCATTTCTGCATCAGATATATAGTGTACAAATATGCTCTTCAGAAAACAAGTGATGATATCTTCTACTCTCCAAATACTTAGGAAGGGGAATATTTTATGCTTTTTCTCAAATCTTGTCCTAAATTAACAAGAATTGATGAATCCCAAGGCATAAATTTTCTATTTATTTATTTATCATTTTTGCTTGTGTTGAAAATATATATAACAAAACATACACCATCTCAACAATTTCTGCATACACAGTTCAGTGACATAGATTACAGTCTTCAAATTATGCAACTACTCAAGAAATAAATTTTCAATCAACACAGTTTTTAAAACTAGGAGACCATTAAATAGATCAACTTCCTTTTCCTTTTCCAGTATAATGTATGAGGTCTCTAATTCATGCTTGAGAGTAATCATTCTTTGTGACTATTTCAGAATGGTCCAGTGGAACATGAATTCCAGTCCATGTTGTCGTTGTTGTTGTTAGGTGCCATCGTGTCATCTCTGACTCATAGTGACCCTACGCACAGCAGAACGAAACACTGCCCAGTCCTGTGCCACCTCCATGATCCCTGCTATACCTGAGCCTATTGTTATAGCCATTGTGTCAGTCCATCTTTTTGAGGACCTTCCCCTCTTTCCAATCCATGGTAAAGGGTTTTAGTGAAGGTCATGAAGAACCCCCATTATGTTCTGATAACACTTAAAAAAAAAAAAAAA